CTGATTTTAATCTCGACAATGTTGATTCGTTTTACGTCCAATAATGCTCCGTGAATCGCGAATACGATCTTATTTACATTTGCAAATGCTTTTTTCTGTTATTGCTTATTCTTGTTACTGCACAGATCTAAGATTTTTAAATCTCCTTGTAAGTAGCATTACTGCCGAGGCTAAATTTAAGTCTCTGTCGCGTAAACGGCATTATTAGACATAACTGTTATCTTTGTCTTCACAGCTTCCCATCAACTCTTTAAGCTCTTTTAAGAGCTTCTAATCTCATCTTCCAACGCCAACAACGGCAAAATAAAAAAAAATAGGATGAGATGAGAATAAAGAGTAAATTCAAGTGAAATATTGCACGGAAAAAAAGATTTGTTTGAATTAACCAAATATCTGGTCGAATATAAACGATGCAGAAATTCCAATTGAAGTAACCCGAATTCTGTTTAACAAGATTTTTGGTTGATTTAAACAGAATTCGGGTTACTTCAATCGGAATTTCTGGATCGTTCATATTCGACCAGATATTTGGTTAATTTAACCAACCTTTTTGTCCGTGTGAGATAATCTGATAGTCATATCTGGTACCCACATGTTTGTCGAAAACTGAAAAAAATTTCTTTTTCAAGTAATATATTTCGTTCAGAATTAGATAGAACTCTGCGACCAATTAAAATATCGCTCTAGTAATGCGAGTATATACAATACAACTACAAATTTTACAAGTAATAACAAATTGTTACAAATTCGAAATGATGTGTACAAGATGCTGGCAACAGCTTCTCCAAATTCCTCCGTTTCTGGGGGTTTTATTAATTATATGTTCGTTGCGTATAATTAATGAAGTCCAGTCAATTAACGTGTACTTTTGATGGCGTGGACTGCACGAATACTTGTGGGTGTAGGAATATGTTTGTCGAATATATACGAGTTAAATAGATTGGCATGGAAATCGTAGCTAAGTATCGAATGCAAACCTCCGCGATATCTCTAATATTCTTTATTAATATCGAAATGATCGATAAATATATATGTCGTGTAACAAATATAGATACACGTTAATAAAATCGCTCTCGAGATAGAATTGATCTAACGTGGGTAAACTGTGGGATTCTCGTCATGTCGCTTTTCGCAATATCGCTAAATAATTTTGAATCGTGCACTCAATCAAATTGGTCGCTGCGAATTTTAATGAAACATTTAATCCAAGTTTAATCCTTTGAAGCACCGAACTTTCAAAATTCGGATAAAATATTCATATCACATCTAGAATGACAACCCAAAAGATCATTCCTTTTGATTTTTTCTATTTTCCCATTTTTACAGAATAAATGTTTCGCTATGCAAACACCGCGCGACAAAATATTTCCATCACTATGCGCAAGCTGAGTGGTGGTTTCGTTGCGAGATCTCTGTGCCTGAAGCTATGATTTGGCTCTAATAGGAGATCTCACGGTGAAACCACTGTGCCCCAAAGGGTTAATATATGCGTCATTTAACATTCTGGGTGTTTGCTCGTATCGTCTCATCCCGACGCGCCTCGTCTCTCGTATCCCACAATCGGCGCGATCAAACGCTGGAAGACGGAAAGAGCGCCTCGTTCCTCCGCGATTTTTCGCGGGCTTTGTGAAACTCGGCGCGCCCCAACTCTTGGACAACTATTTCCAACGAATTCCGAAGCTGTCGGATTAATCGAAAGGACGTGCCGGAAGTGCATTTCTGGAGAAGCACGCAGCAATCGTGCCGGCATTCGTTTCGCGGTCTCGGCGCACACGGCGCAACTATTCCGAACTATCGGTCGAAACTGTCAATTTGCACAGAAGAGTCAGTCCACGGCTGAAACGTTCCTCCAGCGGCGAATAAATAACGTCTGCCGGAAGTACGTTGCAGAATTCGCGCGAGACGGATCGATCGTAGTAGGCATCTCTACGGTTAATACGAGGTCGTTCGACTCTCTTCCCCGCCCATATTCTCTCTCTCTCTCTCTTTCTCTCTCTCTCTATCTTCCTGAGCTATAAGCTACGTTTGGTCAGTCGTAAAGCGGTCGAGTTAAACACAAAGAAAAATCAGCGATCGGCAGAGGCGAATAAACCGGGATTTAACATGACTCGGATCGTGCCAATTTCCCGGTAACGTCGCCAAATACAGAGCGAGAAAATAATATGTTTGAACAAGCGAATTAATTTCCACAATAAAGGTAAATGCACAATTTATTCGGCGTGACGCGGCGGCTACATCGCGGAAATGTTCGAAACAAACGAAAAGAAGAGAAGAAACCGTATCCGACCGCGAGACACGTCCCGTGCGCGATTCGCACGATCCGCTCGCGGTGCAGTCTCGCGTACTTGAATAGCTCAAGAAAATCCCGCGTGCGAGGTATATACTTAGGGGTCTCGGTTTTGGTAGGAATATTTCACTGTCCGGCGCAAGAGCGGCGGAAAAAAGGCCGCAGGGGAGAAAGAAGAGAGAGAGAGAGAAAGAGAGAAAGTGCGGTGCGGGGACAGAAGGATCTAGCGCGAGCGGCGAAATTAGCTCCGTCGATCCAGATTGAAAAAGTACCTATAATCGTAAGAGCTTTTTTCCGTGCTGCCGGGGACGCGAGAGGAGTCGACAAATGGAGGGGAAGAACGTGGAAGAAAATAAAGCCCGAGACAAATGGTGCTCCTTGTGCGTCAGTTGCGGAGAACGTCCGCGCCTTATAAATCGACGCATCGACACCCGTTACATCCGATCAAAGGGGGAAAAAAGAGAGAGAGAAAGGGAGAGAGGAAGGGGGAAAACCAAAGACGGCAGGCTTTCTCTCCTTTCGGACCGGAGAAGAAAAAAAAAAGGAAAACGCGATTGTAAATCTCTCCGTAATGACGTTCGATCGATCGTGAGCGCGCACGCGGGTGTGTGTCTGACAAATTTTTCGCTTCTGCGCTCTTCTCTTCCTTTTTACGCTTGTTTATTCCCTTCCGCACGACATCCGCGCGCTTTAGCGAAGCGACGGTAACCAACGATCGAACCGCGCGCCGACCAGGATTAAATCGTCCAAATCGATTTGTTTAGCGCGGCAGCTCGCGTGTAACATTATAGTTTTGCGTGAAATCATCGGCAAGGTCGTTAGTTTAATTGAATGCGCGCTCGCCCGATCGGATCGTTATAATTTCATTTCACACCGTCGACTCCGTCGGAACATCGGAAATGGACGAGTATCACGCGCGCCGAGCGATTGTTCTTCCGTTGCTCTTCCATTCGCGCCGTTATCTTGCACAGAAAAAACGTAAACCATGAGAGAGGGAGAGAGAGAGAGGGAAAAGGGTGAGGAAAGAAAGAAAGGAAAAAAGTTTTCAGCACTTGGAAAAATTCTCGCCTACCCAAAACCGAGATTAACTCGCGAGATGCAGCTGCAGGCAGAAAGGAGTTTCCCGCCGTGGAGCTTTTCTCTTTGCACTGCTGGATAAAGAAGATAGCGAGAAAGAGGCACGGAAGGATAGAGATTGAGAGGGCGAGAGAAAGAAAGAGACAGTGAGAGAGAGAGAGAGAGGGAGAGAGAGAGGGAGGGAGGTAGTGTGCGGAGAAAATAGAAAAAAAGAAAAAAAGGAGCGACGCGGTGTGTTTCAGTTGTGAAAACGCTTGCTCCTCATAAATCTTTCCCTCCACGTTACTCCCGAATCATCCCTCACGCTCTAAAACAAAATTAATCTCGCTGTCTATCCGACGAGTGCATCGTTGTGACGTTTTTTTCAATAAAATAATGGGCAAGGAGATAAAAAGTCAGAATTTTCCGGGGTAATTCGACGAAGCGAATTCGTCTCGTAGTCGCTTCCGATCCTCGCGACAAAATCAGCGAACTGCGTGCTTGAATGTAGGAGGAAAGAAAGAAAAGAAGGAAGAGATGGAAAAAAGAAGACAGCTATTGCGCGGAAACGAGAGCTCCATATATTCGACTTATATCAATATCGCGATCAAACAGCTCTAATCTTTTCAAAAGTGACGCAAAGACTATGAATTTGAATAAGCCGCGTGTGTGTTGCGGAACGATATAAATCTCTCGGTAAACTGATGGTCAAAAAGACCATTTTCACGTGGAAAAATTCCACGCTCATGTCGCGTGACGATATTTTTTCCCTCTCTCTCTCTCTCTTTCCCTTTTTTGGAAAATGTTACAGTTCCACTCGTGAGGAGGGGAGGAGCGCGCACGCGGTGGGGAAAAACGAGAAAAAAGTCGTACAGAGGGAAAGAGAGAAAGTCACGACTCTCCTATACATCGCCCGCGATACTTTTTTTTGCATGCTCCGACGAAATTTAGGGGAATGGCTTGATGAGGAAAGAGAGAGAAGACGATGAAAACGCGTGGAAAAGGGTGGCACGCGATACAGTCAATACAGCCTTCTATGTGCGTCAGTTGCAAAAAACGCTTGTATGTCACGTATCACCTCACTTCATGGCCGGAACAATTCATGAAAACTAAAATTAAACCAAGCGGGCGAGCGGCGCCGCGCCGCTGCGGGGAGAGTACGGGGAGAAAATCCTTTCGATCGCATATTTCCGAGATAAAAATATTCAAGTGGCGGCACAATGACGCGATTTGTATGCAGCCGCGGTCGCGAAAAACGGCTGCTTCAAACAAACCGCGTCGCTCTCTAATTTGAAAAACTTTTCGCTATATTACTCGGGCGCGATACGAGCGCTCCACTCTACGCAGTTCCTCTCGAGATTCAATGGTTTTGAGGTCAACGAGTATGTCTAACTGACACAGTGTCAGACGAATCGGTGCCGAAACTACGCTCGAGTCGAAATTTGGAATCTGCTGTAAGTCCCGCAGATGCTAATGTCGCCTTTTGATGCTGCCTACATGCTCCGACATGTTGGCGCGATGCTCCGTTAAACATATAGAAATTTTTGTTTCGCTTCTGTCTTCCTCGCGTTTCTCTAGACGCCTTTTATTTCTCGACGTTTTTCTCAAGCGCTTATAATACTTCACTCAAAGCGTTTAATTTAACGTTTGGTTATAGAAACAAGTGTACGGCGCGAGAGAGCACTACAACAATTGTGGCAAGAAGTGTAAATACATCTTGTACCATTGCCAACGGTCGTCGCTCATCAAAGAACACCGGTCGACTGAACCAACAGCGAATCAACAGTCGCAACATCCGGAACCTTCAAAGAGGTCAAATGTGTCTCGTAAACTTTTCTGGATCATTCAGTCCCGGGCTGGCGAGCGACACGCACACCACTGACTACGTATGTCAACGCATTATCTGTTGTCGCCCCGCACAATCAAAACATTCGCAAGGCGGTTCAAATTTGTCTTCGCACCTCGCGAACCTTTCCGGATTATTCAGTCCCGGGCCGGTGAGCGACATTAGGGACCACGTTATTTATTGTTCGTCGTGGATAATTGAACTATTTCCCTTGAGAGTACTTAATTAATCTCTCGTCGGCATCGCATTATTTAACTCGTGTGTCTTCGATTGAGTCGTGTCTACGCGAGTGTCAGTGTCAGTGCAGCACGACGGAGCAGCCAGCTGGGTCGAGAAACTAGAACGAAAGTCGCAGGACGCAGGACAACAGGACGTGGGCAGCGATACATCAACGATACATATTTTCAAGGTGTGTCAAATTATTTATTATATAGGAAATATCCGTTTTTAACGGACGGGAAATACTCGAGTCGAAATTTAGGCCGGTACTTATAGCTTAACATCGTTTGAAATATCATTGTAGCTTCATTGATCTCCGATTAATCGTCTCAATTTGCACTTCTTACATTATTTCACACAAGAAATACATCCAAACAGACGAATAACGTCACATGAATACGAACTTGTAATTAATTATGCTCTCAATCGAAGATTGTGTATAAATTTACAACTATGAATACCGGCCTCAGAAGCTAATATAAATCTTGCAAGTGCTGGTTACGTCTAATAATGCTCTTTTATCCGCGAGTGCCATCTTATTCACATCTGCCAACAATGCTTTCTTTTCGTTTCTGCATAATCTTGTTATTGTACGAAATCCAAGCTTAAATTTCCATTAGTAAACACAGCATTATTAGACACATAACTGTTATCTTTGTGTTTGCAGCTTCATATAAGCTCTTTTAAGAGCTACAGATCTCATCAAAACTTCCATCAAAAAGACAAAAAAAAAGAAAAGAGGAAATAAAGAGAAAAGACAAAAAGAAAAAAAGAAAAAAGAAAAAGAGAAAAATTAGGAAGAGATGAGATTAAGCATTATTATTTTACCTTTTTATTCACACTTTCATTTGCTAAATAATTTAACCTCTGATTATCAATATAAATTTCGTTCGAACGAATAGCCACATTTCGCCGACTGCCAATCACGAGTATATATTTGCCAATTAATATATCAATGTGCGATAACGCCATGCTTCGTTCATTGTCAATTATAATTGACATATGATTATCATATGATTTTATCGACGGGCGCGAGGATTCTCTTATCAAAATGACGTATCCATATCCTCTCTTTCAGAGTTTGCACAAACGATGTGCTTCTCTCGAGATTTTTTCGACCGCGGCGATTATCGCAAGTGACAGTGAGCGAGTGTTGTTTCTGCGCACTCGATGCATCCAGCCGTTTAATTTTTTCGACATTTTCTCCGCGAAGCGTGTGTGTCAGTTAGGAAACGGGGAACGGCCTTGATCGCGTCGCGCGTCTCTTGATTTTGTCATTTTGTTCAAAAATATCGAAATACATGTCGGATCTCGAATTTCCATCGTCGAATCGTGACTGTCTCGAGCGACCCGTGGGTCACGAGTGAAATTTTATTAAAATATATTGAAATAATCTAATATTAAATAATTAAAAAGTCGAATTCAATTAAAGTAATATTAAAAGCAATTAAAAAATAATAAAAAAGTTTAAATGTTAAGGATTTATTGCCCGTATAGTCCGTACACAAACTAGTAACATCGTATTTTTACTTTAACATCACAATATATTTATATTTTATATTTATATTTTATATTTTATATTTTATATTTTATTTATTTTATTTTGTATTATTTCAAATTTTTTCTATATTTTTATCTCTCTTTTTCAATTACAGTGAAATTATGCACACATAAATTTTGAATATTTAAAGTATATGTATCCAAAAAGTTGGGGTTCTTGTCATTATCTTTCTTTAATTATCTTTTCCATCACTCAAGATAGCATTATCATATATTTTCACATAACAGCACGATTTAAAATATTTCCAAGTAGAAGGATGACGTCAAATGATATATTAATGACGTATTATTCACGTTAGAGGTATTATTAGTACATTATCAAAACATAATTTGACGTCATCGTATTTGCTGAGCTTACATTTCAGAAGAATAACTTTTGATCCAGACTGGATCAATGTCGAATTATTTGTGATCACTTTTAGACGTAATATTGATTAATCTATAAAATTTCTTCAAGATCTTTATTATATATTTTTAAAATATGCGGGCAATACATCCTTAAATAATTCTTCAACGAATACTTCTCCGATCTTCCTTATATGGAGAAAACAGCAGTGAACGATTATCTACATTCTGCAGTATTGGTAAGTCAATAGTTCGTACATCTCGAGATTCTTCATTGACTCTTCAAGTTCGACGGAATTTGCAGGGTCAATATAGAATTAAAATTTCGACTCGGGTAATCGTTCTCAGTCCTTCTTTAAATCTCCACATGGAGTAAACGACAATAAGTTACGATTTGTACTACAAGTACAAAGTACACTGAAAAACTCATTTAGTTGAGTTAACCAAAATTTGGTTAAAATAAGGTGGAATAAATAGCTTGATATTAAAAATGTTTTTAAATTTTATACGTAAAATACATATTTGGTCTGTCAAATATATATCTTTTGAACGGACTCCGTGTAAATGTTTACGCAAAATATATTTTCAATTAATTAATCGAATTTCTGCATTTTTATTTTCGCGTGCAATATGCTTGTGCTGTTGCATGCCGTTATCAATAATTCGTCGCGATTATTCGAGAGAAGGTTTGAATTCTTGAAACAAAAATGAAACAGTTTAGTTTCAGAGAATCAAATCTTTGATAGAAAGAATGAAATTTTGGTCCTCACAACCGAAACATTTGTTCGACCTTATTTTAACCAAGTTTTGGTTAACCCAACACGGAAAAAAAGATTTGCTAATATATGGACAACTAAAATTACTGCAGGAGCAAATTTTCTTGCTTTCATAGCAAAGTCATTTAGTTGTGATAGCTAAAAGATTTGCTAATATATATATATATACTACTGTGTCCAAAAAGTAAGGTGACATTGCATTTATTTCGAAAATTCTTTATTTATTCTTGCAAATCAATTTCGTCCCCTTCAAAGTAATCCCCTCCTGATATAATACACTTATTCCAACGGATTTTCCAATCTTCGAAACAGTTGTAATAATCGATTTCAGGAATGGCCTTTAGCTCCTTCTTCGCAGCGGCTTGAATCTCTTCTATCGACTCGAAACGGTGTCCCCGGAGCCAGAAGTCGCATGGAGCCAAATCAGGTGAATACGGTGGTTGTGGAACGATATTAGTCGAGTTTTTGGCTAAAAAATCACGAATAATCAGCGCAGTGTGTGACGGTGCATTATCGTCACACAGTTAGCCGCTGCGAAGAAGGAGCTAAAGGCCATTCCTGAAATCGATTATTACAACTGTTTCGAAGATTGGAAAATCCGTTGGAATAAGTGTATTATATCAGGGGGGGATTACTTTGAAGGGGACGAAATTGATTTGCAAGAATAAATAAAGAATTTTCGAAATAAATGCAATGTCACCTTACTTTTTGGACACAGTAGTATATATATATATATTAGCAAATCTTTTAGCTATCACAACTAAATGACTTTGCTATGAAAGCAAGAAAATTTGCTTTTGCAGTTAATATTTTTAGTTGTCCATATATTAGCAAATCTTTCTTTTCTGTGAACAAAATGAATTTTTCAGTGTAGCACAATAATCTTTATGAACGCTACATCTCGAGATTCTTCACTGGCCTACAAGTTCTACAAATATTTACAAATTTAACGAAAGATTTAAATTTTGACTTTAAATATCGTTCACGTCCTGCGTAAGGAAATTGAGAGACCGCGAATTGGGAGAAATTGACGTCGCGACCCGCTCAAGATCGGGATAGCCGAGCGTTTTCACGGTAAAAATTGGGAACAGTAAAAATGAGTTCGCGAGCGAGAAACGACAACTGAAATCAGCTGATCTTCGTGCCGGAAGCCTTGGGGTGATATTTTTATCTTCAGGTGCTCTTAAGCGTCGCGATTCGCGATACGATGGAGTCTCGCCCAGTTTTCCGAGGACTCGATCTTTGTTACGCGCAGACAGCTATCGATTCCGCCGATACAATCGTCCTTGCCAGAAATAATCGAGATAAATGATACAATGGTACATAACACGGCGTGTTCGCTTTTCCCTTATCCAAAAAAGCGAGTTCGCCGCGCAAGTATCGCGATGTTGCACGGACCGGAGTTTGTATAAGTAAAATATTGACAGGCGAGATAAAAAGCCACGAGTGAGAGATATGTATGATGTTATCAGTAAAAAGGAAATAGAGAGAGCGAAGGAGCCAATCCTCCCGTATTGTATCGAAAGCCGGTCATTTATCACGAATCGCTTTTGACCAAGCCGTTCTTACAACAATGGGAATGAAATTAACGTTAGGAACCGACGAAAAAGAGCCTATAATCTTGAGAGCTTTCTTGCGATTATTCAAGAGAATAATCGCGACGAATTATTGATAACGGCATGCAACAGCACAAGATGTCGCGCGCGAAAATATAAGTGCAGAAATTCAATTAATTAATTGAAAATATATTTTGCGTAAACATTCACACGGAGTCCGCTCAGAAGGTATATATTTGACAGACCAAATATATATTTGTTACATATAACATTTAAAAATATTTTTAATATCAGGCTATTGAGAAATTATCGGATCGGCCAAAGTTTACCTAGCTTAACAGCGCTTTACACACGAGCGCTGAAATAGACTGTAACGTGCATTATCGATGCATACACGGCCGTTGAATTACTTGCGTGTGCGTTTGAACCCCGCTTAATAATTCGTTCGTTGTGTATGCGTCAACGCGGCTGCAGTTTATCGCTATGCGCGCATAGCTCTAGAAGCACGGATTTTCTCCGGGGAAATCTGCCAGGTGCGACGAAATCGATCCGCGAAAAAGAGGCGAGAAAAAAAGCAAGGACAACCGCGGAAGCTTTTCGATTTGGACTCGTGCATTTGCAAATCTCCGCAACGCGGCGCGACGTGCTCGCTCGGATTCTTCCCGTCGCGTTAATTACACCGGGCCACGACGCCCCGTTCGACGGGGTAATTACAGCCGTTCGCGGCTCAATTTTGCGGAGCGTTTTTCCTTCGCGATATCGCCGACTCTCGTCGTCCGGTGTGCGCCATTCGTGAGTGCAAATTGGAGGCAGCTCCTCAAGTTCTCGCCGATAATCACGTCGTTAATGATACGCGTCTGGTTAGTTTTATTCAGGTTCGGGCGTAAATGTGTAGACAATGAATAATCTACGAGGGTTGTTTAAAGAGCGTAGTTTGTTAAAAAATTAATTAA